CGAAAACACAAACACTAGACAAACAACATTAGAAGTAAATTGTTTGTTAAACATCATCAAAACAAGAAGGCCAACACGGAGGTCCTCCCCGTGTGTCAACAGTAAAACGCTGGAGTCGGACCCGCGTTATAACATTAAAACGCTGGGGTCGGACCCGTGTTTTTTTTTATGCCCAGCGGGTACCCAACTCCGCGTCTCCAGTCTAAAATGTGGAGTTAGGATCCTGAACGCCAACGTGGGCGTGACTCGTTCAAACACGAGCTGAACGGTTGTAGGAACCGTTTTTCCTCCATGATCTGAGGGATTTCTGCCCCACTTGGGAGCGGATTAAGGGGGGGTTACACCCCTCTCAATCCCATTATGGAGAGAATTAAGGGGACGGTTACACCCGTCAATTCCCTATAAATATGGGTAAACTCAATGGAGTTCAGGTTGGCTTTTTGGATCTGAGGTTTGGCAGCGAGGTTGGAGCAGAGGGGACTTGGCTCTCGGTTTGACAGCAACAGAAGAGATCCTTGGAGCATTTTCTAGAGCTTGGGAGATCTTCAACAAGAGCTTCTTCATCCTTGGCTTATCAACCGAACTTTCGGTTTAAATCAACTCTTTTTCAAGAGTTAAAACTCGTTCAGAGTTATCAACTCATCAAGAGTTTCAAACTTACCACGCAAGTTCTCCACAACGTCAAATCATGAGGAGAAGATATCGTTCCAGTGAATCAAGATGTGCGGATCGTCAACGGAGAGCAAACTCGACGTGAGCATTCGAGGGAGGCACTCCATCGTCATCGTGAAGAACCCAGATTTAAACAAAGGGGAGAATCCAGATCAATTCTCCTCTCTTTCGTAATCAGGAAATACAATTGTAATTGAGATCGAAGGAATACAAATCGATTTTCCTTTATTTCTTTTACTGCAAATTTTCCCACAAACACTAATGAGTCGACTCATGTACATGTATGAGTCGACTCATGGGCTGAAAATTGAATGCTTCGATTCTTTGATTCGCCGTCTCGTTCCACGCTTCAACCTGTGTTCCACTGTGTTGTTTTACCTCTCTATTCTTAAGTTACCATGAGAATCATCTATCCTCAAGCTCCCATAAAGATCGCTAAGTTCCGAAGAGAAGATACACCCATATCATAGGTCCCCTCTTTAGGAACTTAAACTCCCATTCAAGTTAGAACTTTAGCTAAGAAAACTCGCGAGCTCCTCCATCCTTTCTGTACCACCTGGCTTTGCTAGGAACCTGATATCGACGTACAACTGGAAATGACTCCTTCGTTCCTCACCTCATCGTAGTCGTCTTCTGCTCTAATATGCAATTCCTTTTCGATGGCTCGTCATGAAGTCTAATGTACAGCGAGGCGAACTTCTTGTTTGCATTCACTAGCCTCTTCGCTCGTGTCACCGCCGCTAAGTTTGCCTCCCTCGGAAGAAACGCCGAACGAAATATGAACTTTTCACCATCCTTGGTGAATGTGTACTTCTGAGCCTGCTTTTCATAGACCGCGTATCTATCCCACAAGTACGGATTGCCCAGTATAACCTGACAAACATCCAATAGAACAACGCCGCACGTGACCTCGTTAATATACGACTCGTGGAATGCAAATCTGACAATACATTGATCAACTACACTTAGTCCCGTCTCCTTCTGAATCCACCCTAATGGATAGGGTTTCTGATACTTGACTGTCTTCAGACCCAGCTTCTGAACCAAGGCCTTGGATATCAAATTCTTTTTACTGTCTGGATTAACAATGGCATCAACCAAACTGGTCTTCACTTATAACTTTAGCACAAAGAGCTGCTCTCGGGGGGTCTTCGTCCTCTTTCGTGGCCTATTTTTATGCCATAAGATTGAGACTACTGTTGGACTCTGTCATCCCAGGAATTTCCTTCAGACCCTGTGCTATCACGTATGCCTTCTTCTTCTCTTTTTCTTTAATCCTTTTGGCTTCAGATGAGGATACTTTTCCCAGCATCGATCAGCGATATGTCCTGTCTTCTTGCAGTGACTGTAAATCAGTTCTGTTCTCCCTGGATCACCCTTCTTCTCCTCCTTATGTTTGGAACCACTAGACTCACCTCACATCAGTTTTGCATCTCCTTTTGCCTCGTTGCTCTTCGTTTGCTTGCCCTCGATGGCAATACCTTTCACGCTTGTCTCTGCAATAGACTCGACCGTGAGTAGCTTTATCTCCTTCCGGATGTATTCGTTTAGACCTGCCATGTACTTCATAAAGATGGAGTATTCATCCGTCATGACGTTTAGAACCATCACCTGCTGCTGGAACTCCGTCGTGTACTCTTGAACGGTCTGATTGAATTTTTGGCGTAAGCCGTACTATTTGTACCAACGCTCCTTAAGGAACGCCACTGGATAGAACTGCTTTCTCAGTAACTCCTTAAACTTGTTTCACGACACCACCTTTTTCTCCTGCTTGTAGTAGGATTTCCACCACGTCAACGTGTACCTCAAAAGCTTCAAAGTCATGAACACAATCTTTTCCTTGGATGAATATCCATAGAGAGTGAAATACATCTCCACATGCTCGATCCAATCATTGAGCTTCTCCACATTGACACTCCCATCATAAACAGGAATCTTCAGATTGAAATCAATTTTTAAGTTATGGTAGTAATTCTTACCCCCTTGATGTGGAGCAGTCTTAACAATCTCGGCCTTCTCATCAGAACCAGTTTTCTCACCCTCTCCATCGGACTCTTCGAGCTTCTTCTTACCCTTCGAAGAAGATTCCTTATTTTTGTCCTTTCCATTGATGAGACCTACGAGCTGATTGAGTGTAGAACCAATCGTCTTGATCTGCTTCTCCATTGTATCAAGTCTTGCTGAATTATCCCCTTCAGGTCATCTTCTCCTTCCTTAATTTTTGGACTCCTTCCAATAAAATAAGGATTTTACCTAGCTTCTTGTATTACGATCAAGTCAGGACCATACACAGAATGCCCCCTTCACAGGATCTGATCGCTTTGATACTAACTTAATACGAGTCGTCGTGCGAGCACCTTTGATCGCGGAATTATCAAAGGTGGATTGAGAAGAGGATGAAAGAAACACAAGAATAATTCAATATGTGGCGAAGGAAAATACTCTCTCTAGATTATGAGTATGAAAAGATTATAATCCCCCTCTCACAATCTGAGAACAAACTCTTAATTCTCTCTAAACCCTAATCTCTCTTGATTAGAAACTCTCTTTGATTACATCTGATTGATTAGAAACCCTAAACAACCATTTTTATAGGTGTAACAACGTGGGTGGCAAAGTGGTAAATAATCAAGCCTAAACCCCACAGTAATTCGTGCAAACAGAAACCCAAACGAACCAGAAAACCGTCGATGTGTCGACTCATAAACATGCATGAGTCGACTCATGCCAAGTAAGTCGACTCATGATGAGGTGAGTCGACTCGTCAGAAACTTTGGATAAAACGACTCATGACAGGCACGAGAAAACGAGGCATGAGTCGACTCAACCTAATGAGTCGACTCATGTACATGTATGAGTCGACTCACGGGCTGAAAACTAGATGCTTCGATTCTTCGAATTCACCGTCTCGTTCCACGCTTCAACCTGCATTCCACTGTGTTGTTTTACCCCTCTATTCTCAAGTTACCATGAGAATCATCTATCCTCAAGCTCCCATGAGGATCGCTAAGTTCCGAAGAGAAGATACACCCATATCACCTAGACGGCATCGTCGTTCTGAAAAAAACAGCGTTTGAATCACTGTAATCCAACAACCGAATAATATGAAAATCACCTATTTCTCTTCCTCTCTTTTTCTCTATTCTACCTCAAATCCGCACCAAAAAAAAAAAAAAAACTTACTCTTCGTTTTTGTTCGTGTAAAACAATTAGATGGTCTCGTGAGTGTCTTTCCTTTTAATAGAGAAAAATTATTCCATAGTCCTCCTGCTCTTAGAGGGTGTTTGGGGCGGCTTCCTTTTTTGGTCAAACTAGATTTTAAGTCGGCCTTTTCATTTCTACATGTTTAATAAAATACAAAATAAGTTAGCTTATAAGTCACATTTTAAAAGCTGTCATACCTCAAATTTTGAAAAGCTAACTTATATGCTCACCTAAATAAGTTAGGTTTGACCAAACAAATTACTATACTACCCAAATAATTTTTATAATATTTTTATCAGAAACCAAAAGCCAGTAAGAGTTAGCACAACTTGTAAGCTTTTAAAAAATAAGCATTCCCAAACACCTTACTAATCAATTGACAACCGGGACAAACACATCCAATCTCAAATAAATCTGCAGCTAACTTGTGTGGGCCCTAATTTGGGCTGGATCCACACGACGTCTTAGTCCGCTACAATAATGGCCGAAGAAACCAAATCCACTACTTTTCAAGGAGGATGAATTCAGATATCTGTTAGCATCAAAGGAAAACAAACATAATTAAAATGACAACTTCGACGCTTGAGACGTGGACAAACATTTGACGGTGAAAATCTGGGACCCGTTGAATGTATCCTCACCTTCTATGTCTTTCCTTCAACAGAGTGAATTTCTCATTAGCGAGAAATTTTCAAAATAGACCTATCTATAATTTCATTCTCTAAAATCGACTCATTTCAAATTTATTTATAAAAATTAACCCAGTTTCGACACGTGCTGATAATTCCATTCTCCAAAATCGACTCATTTCAAATTTATTTATAAAAATCGACACAGTTTCGACGTATTAGCAACACGCTTTAGGGTTGAAACTGGGTCGATTTAATTTTTTTTTTAATTAGTCGTGTTGCCAACCCCGACTAATTAGATGCTAGTTTAATCACACGAGTTAGTAGTGGGGGCTGAAACTGCAGTTCAAAATAGTCACGGTTGCCAACCCCGACTATTTAAAAGATAAACTAAGGAGATTACTCATTAATTGGGGTTGACAGTCCTAACTAATTAGAAAGAAATCTTTTGATCTAATTAAAACTGACTCGATTTTAGGAAAAATATTTTAAAATAGATCATAAAAAGGGCCTGTTTAGAAAATTTCTCCTCCTAATTCTCTATACGTGAACTGTCCACCACCATTATCTGCAGAGCCTAGTTTTGGACTCGGCGACCATCATCACTTGAGCTAGAAATGGAGGAGCCCTTCAGCAAGGGATCAACAAAGAGGTAAATCCCAGTTCGTTTGTACTCAAAATTTCTCGTAATTAACTTATTCCTCGACTCAACTCTTCTTCCAGGACCGCAGTAGTAACAGGAGCAAACAAAGGGATCGGGTTGGAGATTTGCAGGCAGCTATCGTCTCGAGGGGTCCTGGTCGTGTTGACAGCCAGAGACGAGAGGAGGGGCACCGAAGCCGTTGAGGAGCTCAGAAGCTCCGGACTCTCTGACGTCTTGTTTCATCAGCTTGATGTGGCCGACCCTTCTAGTGTTTCCTCCCTGGCAAATTTCGTCAAGACCCAATTTGGGAAGCTTGATATTTTGGTAAAGTTTTTTTCCCCCCTCCCTTTTTATCTCTAGAATTGGATTTTCAATTGAATACTCTTGCAGGTGAATAATGCAGGGGTTAGTGGCCTAGAAGTAAATCCTCAGGAAGTTGCTTCGTTGGAAGAGGTGAAAATCTAATCAAGAGTGGTATAATAAGTGAATACCCGAGTGCTGTAGCAAATAGATCAATTGTAGAATTTTATAATTCTTCTAAGCATTTTGAGATTCTTACCAATGATAGTTCACTAAAACCCCAATAAGTGCGGGTGTTTTGACATTTAACCCTAAAAATTTTGAAAGTCTCACTAAACTCACTATAACTTTGGGAGTTTCAGAAGACCCTCAAAATTTGTTTTTTTTTTCTTTTTCTTTTACATTTAATCTCCGTAATGGTGTCAGCCATATTTTTGGGTTCCCAAACAGAGAATATCGTTTAAACATAAAAATTCATAATGTTTTAGAGGTTTTCTGAAATTTTACAGTTATAGGGGATTTAGTGAGAGTTTCAACATTTTTTAGGGTTAAGCGTTAAACACCCAAGCTTATTGGGTGTTAAGTGAAATTTACCCTTTTTTGGCCTAATACTGCTCTACTCTTATGTAAAATAACTGACTGGCTGGTTTTGCTTGCAAATATCTAGTTAAATACTAGGGTTAATTGCAGATTGACCTTTTGTGCTGTCGCCCAATTGCGGATGGACGCCCTGTATTTTTATTGCTACAGATAAACCCCTGGGCGAAATTCTTTTGACTCTTTTAACCTAAGAGAAGAAGATTTTTTTTCATTGGATAATGGACCTCCTGAGGATTTTTAAAAAAAAAGTCTCTCAGAGGGTCTATCTGCAACAATAGACGGCAATGGGTATATTCACAATTGGGTGATAGTCCAAGGGGTTTATATGCAATTAACCCTTATAAAAATATGTTGTTTTCAACCAAGCAAATGTGAACAGTAACTCAATGTTAAATGTATGATTATACAGTAAAACTCACCCGACGTATGTCTTGAACAGAAACAGAGATCAATATTATGTATTGTTGTAAGAGTGATTTCCCTTATTTTTCACATGAAACAGAAAGATAACCAATCAAGGGCAAATAAGATAGCAGAATTAGCACGAGAGACCCATGAGACGGCGTTAGAATGCTTGAACGCAAACTATTATGGTGTCAAGAGAGTAACTGAAGCACTCCTGCCCCTTCTCGAGCTAGCAGATTCACCAAATATTGTGATTGTTTCCTCTACCCTTGGGCAGCTTAAGGTAAGAACCTACTAGCTGTTAGATTCTTATGTCGTATCTTGATAGACTTGTCCTTAAGTTTATGCTTACCAATGCTAGATATGTCTCTAACAAGGGTAATGTTATATCTAATTTATGACCTGATCATGTAACTGAGCTTGATTGAAGGATTGGTTGTAGGGTATTTCTACAATAAACTGATCCTGTTTGTATAAGTAGGCCTTCATCTGTACCTACAAGGAAATTATAATAATGCATTAGTTTATCTCTTTTGTCATGGTATCGGAGCAAATTTTCTGAGCCTAGATGTTCATCCACTTCGATGCTTCAGAACTTTCTGTCTATGCAAGTACTTCGCGTTTTGGTGATTACTCCAGTATTATGATTTGAATTGTTCTTCCTATTTCCACTATTACATTTTCCATTTTGATTCTTGTCCTAATCTAAATATAATTAAGCCCTTTCTTTTACATATTCAGGGTTTTCTATCTAACACTTGAAGACTCCTGTGATTATCGAGTAAATCTTTGTTATACAGTTCCAATCCCCCCTTGTTGTGCGCAGCGGAAATTTCGGCAACACTTCTAGTGCACAATAAGAGAGTAAGATCACAACTAAATCTCTATTTCACAAAGGAAACAAGAATCGACAATGATATATCTCAACAAAGTGTGATATACACTCTTCCTTTCATTAGTTCTAGGACGGACTTATCGAGGGAACCTAAGAAGCTATTATAAATCACAGCAAGACAACGAATTTTACATGGTTCGACAAGTTGCCTACGTCCACAGGGTAAAGAGGGAGGAGATCTACTATTAGAGAGAAAGAGAATACAAATAGGGTTTACAATCACATAAAGTCTCACAAATAAAACCCTCTAATAATCTCTCAATTTCTCTCTCAACAACAACCGAAAAGCATTGTATTTTTCCCCTCTGCACGCCGAAAAACTTTCCGCGTTCTCCCACCGTTTTGCCCGAAGCCCTAGGAAGTGATTGAAAGAGATATATATAGCACAGAGTCGGGTTGGCCAGGAAACGAAAAAACTGCTCACACGATTTATCTCCTCACACTTGATCTTCGGCACTGTCTCAATATTGCTTTAGTGACATGCTTTATCTCCTCACAAACCTAACATGAACGTGTGTGTGGCCCCCACGTCCCACATTCATAATTCTCCATCTCGACAAAGTTTTTTTCAAAATTGAGCCGACACCAAAGCAACCAAATGTTCCACTTGTTGCGTCCAGTACGAAGTGGAATAAATCCACGACAATGGACTCAATCCACAACAAGTCAGGAACCCGAACGAGAGTCCAAACAATCTCCCCCATAAAAAACAAACAATCCAACCGGCTGCATCTAAAGACTGCCTATGTATCCTCTTGTCCATGGTATCAAGCCGAACGTAGTTCACCCAAATGGCCTTCAAAGGCTAAATACCGAAGAATGTTCAAAAGCTCCAAACAATGACCAAACTTAATACCTGAAATAACTTTGGTAAACATATCCATAGGGTTGTCATTTGTGTGGATCTTCTCTAATATAACATCTTCATCATACAAGACATCACGAACGAAGTGGAATCTGACATCAATGTGCTTCGTGCGTGCATGATAGACCTAGTTTTTTGCCAAATAGATAGCCGACATGCTATCACAATACACCAGAATGGTCTCCTATGCAATCCTCAAGTCTTTCAACAATCCACGCAACCACAAAGCCTCCTTCACAGCTTCAGTCACTGCCATATACTCCGCATTTATAGTAGAAAGAGTCACTGTAGACTGAAGTGTACATCTCCAACATACCGGTACTCTTGCCAATGTAAAAACATATCCTGAAGTAGACCAGCGTTTGTCAAGATCCTCCGCATAATCTGAATCCACGTAACCAATACAATCCTGCCATGTCTTCACATTCTTCTGAAATACCAAACTAACATCCACGGTACCTTTGATATATCATAGAATCCACTTCACGGCCTCCCAATGACTCTTCCCTGGGTCGTGCATGTACTTGGATACCATGCTCACGGTCTGTGATAAGTCTGGCCTCGTACACACCATAGCATACATCAAGCTACCCACCGTACTAACATATAGAACATTCAACATGTAATCTCTGTCCTCAACTAAAATAGGTGATATCAAAGCTGAAAGCTTGAAGTGGGGAGACAATGGAGTACTCACTGTCTTTGCATTTCCATCAAAGCTGAATTTCTTTAACATCTTCTGCAGATAACTCCTCTGTGTAAGCTTCAATCTCCCCTTCGCCTTGTCTTTCTCGATCTCCATACCTAATATCTTCTTCACCTCTCCAAGATCCTTCATCTCAAACTCAGATGACAGCTCTTTTTTTAACTTTCGAATAGCCGAAGAATTCCTGGAGGCAATAAGCATATCATTAACATATAGTAACAAATAGATGTACTCACCATCCTGTAGTTTGTGCATGTAAACACATGAGTCATATGGGCTCCTCGTATACCCTCGGCCAATTATAAAGTCGTCGAATCTCTTGTACCATTATCGCGGCGATTGCTTCAATCCGTAAAGAGACTTCTTCAGCTTGCACACCAATTCTTCCTTTCCTGCAGCTTTGAACCCTATAGGTTGTGTCATGTAGATCTTCTCTTCTAAATCTCCATATAGAAAGGTTATCTTAACATCTATTTGGACCAAATCTGAATCCAGCTATGCTATCAATGCCAATAGAATCCTAATCGACGGATGCTTTACAACAGGTGAGAATACATTATTGTAATCAACACCCTCAAGCTGTGCATAACTCTTGGCAACCAATCTGGCTTTGTACCGAATGTCCCCAATAGAAGATTCATCTTTCTTTGCATACACCCACTTGCATCCAATAGCCTTCTTACCATTCGGTAGCTTTACAAGTTCACAAGTGTCGATCTTCTAAAGAGAGGTATCTCCTCCTCTATAGCTTCCCTCTACCTGATCGAATCAGAGCTAGACTCTGCCTCCTTGAATATAGAAGGAACCAAATCATCAACAACCTCAATTGATAAGGCATATGTAGCCATAACATTATTATATCTAGCTGGCCGACGAATCACTCTTTTGGGTCTGTTTGCTGCAATGAACTTCTGAACATGACTCAGCTCCTGAGTCTCACCATTCACTGTATCTTCTAAATGCCCGACTATCATCTTATCTCCTTCCAGTATCACCTCTGTAGGAGTCTTAATGGTTACAATGCTATCTAGTGTGGGTGGAGTCACATCATCCTCCACCTGCTGCGATATTCCTCTTGTCTGGTCTCCCTTCACCTGCTGAGGGACTTTGAGGCCTCATCATGTACGCCTCGTCGAATGTAACATCTCTGCTAATAACTATTTTCTTGTCTTGTGGATCCCATAATTTAAAACCTTTTACTCCTCTAAAACCCACAAATACTGCTTTCTTTACCATCGGATTCAATTTACCATCACCGATATGGTAATAAGCTGGACACCCAAATATCCGAAGCAACTTATAATCACTAGCTACCGAACCAGACCAATGCTCTATTAGAGTCTTCCCCTGTATCGCAGTGCACGACAACCTATTCACGAGCTGGCTCACATAAACCAATGCCTCGGTCTAAAAGGATCTTGACAATCCACTTTGTATCATCATACATTGCATCTTCTCCAGCAAGGTACAAGTCAACCTCTCAGCCACCCCGTTTTGTTACGGTGTCTCACGTACTGTGAAGTGTCATCTAATACCGTGATCCCGATAAAACTGCAGAAACGGGTCACTCTTATACTCTCCTTCATTGTCCGAACAAAGAGTCTTTACCTTTCTACTTGTCTGCAGCTCTATTTTCTTCTTCCACTCCACAAAAATATGCAGGACCTCATGTTTATGCTTCATAGGGTATACCCAATTTCTCCTGAAATAATCGTCAATAAAAATGATAAAATAGTTGGCCCCACCAAGTGATATGTGCTTGGAAGGGTCCTAAATATCTGTGTGAGTGTAGTCCAATATACATTGAATATTGTGAATAATAGTATCAAACTTCACTCTCGTCTTCTTCCCAAGTACACAATGCTCACACAGCTCCATCTTGCAGGTCTTCGCACCTTTCAATAGCCCATGTTTCGCTATGTTTATAAGGACTTATCACTAGTGTGTTCTAAACGTATGTGCCATAAACTGGTAGTGTCCTCTGTAATGATAGAAGCTGTCAGATCCCCTGTAACTATCTTACCCTTCAAGTAGTATAGGTTGTTTTTCCTGACACTACGCATCATCACCATGGACCCCTTCGTGATCTTCAGAATTGCATTTTCCAAGATCACCCGATAGCCAGTTGTCTCCAAAGTTTCAAGTGAAATAATGTTATTCGTCAATTGCGGTACGAACCTCACTTCCTTCAGCTCTTAAGTCACCCCGTCACACATACGGATCCGAGCTGTACCAATACCATCAATATGGCATATATGATCATTACCCATAAGCACGACATCCATCTTTCTAACTCCTCAAAGCTGAAAAACCAATCCCTCCTAGGATAAATATGGTATGTAGCATCAGAATTCATCACCCACTCCGTAGATTCAGCGTAACAAACTGACGGTAATACTGAGCATGAAAAGCCCAAAGAATTCGTATCTGAATTGTCGTCACTAGCCTTGACAACATTCAGTTCTGAAGCTTGTACAGCTTTTCCTTTATTCTTCCCGGCTTTATCTTTTAACTTTGAGCACTCGTTCTTCTAATATCCTTCTTCATTACAAAAACAACAATGGTTCCTACAAATACTCTTATGGTCACCTCTATTCTTTAATTTTGAGCGGTTAAACAGGTGGCAGTTTAGATCACGGCCTCGAACTGCTAATGCATCACATGATGCCTTCTCGGAGGGTTCACCATCACTCTTCCTCAACTCATAATTTATCAACGCTGAAGTCACCTCCTTATAACTAACAATAGTTTTTCCATTGACCATAGTGAGAACAAACATATCATAATCATCCTCCGGCAACGAACACAAAAGTAGCA